GAATGGATTATGGATACTGGAGCTATAAATCACATGACCTCTAATTTGGAAATGTTAGAACACAAATTAGAAGTAGTTGGAATTCATACAAAAAAGGGTACACTTACCTAATGGAGAAGTATCAAATGTGACACACATAGGGTCGTGTAATATAGCAAATGCAGGGAGAATTGACAATGTGTTATACTTACCTGAGTTCAAGTATAATTTGTTGTCAGTATCTAAGATCACAAAGGAGTTAAAGTGTTGTGCAACTTTTTATCCCGATTTCTATCTACTTCAGGACCTTTGCAGTGGGAAGGTGAAGGTGATTGGTATGAAGAAAGGCCTCTACCTATTACCACAAACTAATACTAGGAATAATAAAGAAATAATTCAAGGTTTGGCTGTGAGGAAGACAGAACTGGACATTGAACTCTGGCACATAAGACTTGGACATGCTTCAGTAGGAATATTTAAGCAGTTGTTTTCATTAGTCTATGATGATTATTAAGGAAAATAGACAATTGTAGTGTGTGTCCTTTAGCTAAACATTGTAGATTGCCATTTAGCACAAGCAATAGTAGAGCTGAAGATGTATTTCACTTGCTGCATGTTGATGTATGGGGACCATACGATGTGCAAACCTTTGATGGTAATAAATTATTTTTGACAATTGTTGGTGATCATTCAAGAATGACTTGGGTTTATTTGTTGAAATTGAAAAGTGATGTGTTGGTTTTGTTGAGAAATTTTATAAAGTTAGTGCAAACTCAGTTTAACAGACAAGTTAAGGTGATCAGGACTGACAATGGGACAGAGTTTGTGAATGAGGCATGTAGCAAACTTTTTCAGTCTAATGAAATTGTTCGTCAAAGGACTTGTGTCTATACACCTCAACAAAATGGAATTGCTGAAAGGAAGCACAAACATGTGCTAAAAATAGCAAGAGCCATGAGGTTCCAAGGACATATACCTTTAAAATTTTGGGGACACTGTGTGTTACCAGCAGTTTATGTCATTAATAGACTACCATCAAATGTATTAGCAGGAAAAAGTCCTTATGAAATATTTCATCAGAAGAAGCCAAACATTGAGCATATAAGGACTATTTGTTGTTTGTGTTTTGCAAAGAGAATGAATATACATGACAAGTTTGAAGCTAGGGCAACAGCAGCAGTTTTGATGGGCTATTCAGAAGTTACAAAAGGTTATGTTCTGTATGGTTTGTCTAAGCAATGTTTCTTCATAAACAGAGATGTTGTTTTTAAGGAGTCTTTCTTTCCTTTCAAATTCAAGAAGCATGAGAACCAGCCTATGTTTTTAGATACATACTTTCCAGCACATGATGCAGAAGTCTCTCCACCAGTTCATTCACCAATTCTTAATACTGAGGAACAGACTGTCCTCAATGATGTTCCGGGAATAGTTGATGATGCGGAAGACATAACTCCAACAGATCATCAACAAATTCAATCAAGAAGAGACAAAACAAATAGCTAATAAAGTCCAAGACAGTGATGGAAATGGGCCTAGAAAGTCTGCCAGAGACAAATGAGTGCCAATATGGATGACTGATTATGTGACTGCAGCTGCGCTAGATCAATCAAATAAACCTTATTCTATTTGCAACTCTGTTTCCTATGATGGATTAAAGTCAGCTTATCAACATTACTTGACAGCCTTCTTAGATATCACTGAACCACAGACTTTCCATGAGGAACCTAAAGACAAGAGATGGATTGAAGCCATGAAGGCAGAAATTCAAGTATTAGAAGACAACGACGTGGGAGTTAGTGACATTACCAGCAGGGAAAGTTCCCATAGGCTATAGATGGGTCTATAAGGCGAAGTACAAAGCCAATGGGGATGTTGAGAGATTCAAGGCACGGTTGGTAGCTAAGGGATATAGCCAAAAAGAAGGCCTAGACTACAATGAAACTTTTTCACCAGTGGTGAAAATGGTTACAGTTAGAGCTGTAATTTCTGTTGCAGCTACTGAAGGGTGGCATATACACCAAATGGATGTATATAATGCTTTACTTCAAGGGGATCTTTATGATGAGGTGTACATGAAGCTACCTGAGGGATTTGTTAGCCAGGGGGAGAATGAAGGCAAGGTGTGTAGGCTTGTCAAATCCCTTTATGGGTTGAAACAAGCAAGCAGGTAGTGGAATGTAAAACTTACTGAAGCTTTGGTGTCTCAAGGTTTTGTGCAAAGCTCCCTAGACTATTCTTTATTTACTAAGAAGCAGGACAGTAAAGTTGTAGTCATTCTAGTTTATGTGGATGACATGCTGATTACTGGTAATGACTTAACACTCATTGAAGAAACCAAGAAGCGGTTGCATCAGACCTTCAAGCTGAAGGATTTGGGTGAGTTGAAGTATTTCTTGAGCATTGAGTTTTGTAGATCTCATAGAGGAATCATGATGAATCAGAGAAAGTATAGTTTGGAGCTTATATCAGAAATGGGCTTAAATGCAGCTAAGCCAAGCTGGACACCATTGGATTGCAACCAAATGCTCACAACTACTGAGGTGGATGAGGTTGCAGGATCAAACAATGATAAATTATTGGAAGATAAGGGAAAGTATCAAAGGTTGATTGGGAAGCTGTTATATATCACATTGACCAGGCTAGACATTACTTTTGTTGTACAGACACTTAGCCAATTTATGCAAAATCCAAAGAAGTCACACTAGGAAGCAGCCATAAGAGTAGTTAAGTATGTGAAAAGGGAACCAGGATTGGGCATTTTGATGAGCAGCTAAGAAGAACACATTGACTGCTTTTTGTGATGCTGATTGGGCATCTTGTCCAAATACAAGGAAGTCTGTATCATGCTTCATTGTGAAACATGGAGATTCATTAGCTGCATGGAAATCAAAGAAGCAAAATACAGTGTCAAAAAGCTCAGCAAAAGCAGAGTACAGAAGCATGGCTTCAGTGGTTTCAGAATTAGTGTGGTTAACAGGAGTATTCAAGGAGCTGGGAGTAGAAATTGAGTTGCCAATTTTGGTACATTGTGACAGCAAAGCTGCACTATAGATAGCATTAAATCCTGTGTATCATGAGAGGACAAAGCACATTGAAATAGGTTGTCATTTCATTAGAGAGAAGATTCAAAAGGGGCTGACCAAAACAATACACGTAAGCTCAACAGATCAACTTGCAGACATTCTTACAAAGGGGCTTGCAAGACAACAACATGAATTTTTGATGTCCAAACTGGGAGTGCACAACATTTTTGCACCTGCCAGTTTGAGGGGGAGTATTGAGACAATTGGAGACTAGGCACGTGGGAATTATGTAATAGTTAGTTGTATAGTTAATTATAGTTAGGAAGTTTGTTAAGTTGGTAATGTGAGTTAGTTAGATGGTTAGTAGTGAGTTAGCTGTTAGTATAAATAGTTTGTACTGTACAGTTTTTCATTACACAGAAAATGAGAGCATCAGCTTCTGTCTCTCTCTCTCTCTCTCTCTCTCTCTCTCTCTCTCTCTCTCTCTCTCTCTCTCTCTCTCTTATTTCCCCATTACTGATGCTTGAGATCTTGCTTGCATGGCGGTCTAGCACAGATCAGTTCAAGATCTCTATACTTTATATGTGGACTCTCAAACTTTTCAGCTCCACGTGATCCATTACTACGATCCACATGTCAATATTCGTGATTCATTGTATGCCACCCACATTGTCAAAAATATTTATAGTAACCGAAGCCCACAACTAGCTTTTTCATGTGTCCACGTCTCTAAGCTCGTACAGGTAAGCAAATCAAGCCCCACACCTTCGCCTTGTCGTCACCATACTCGTCCTGCCGAACCTGGGGTTTGATACTAATTGTTAGGCTCAACAAGCCCAAAGATACTCTTAACATAGTGTGATAGTATCCGCTTTGGACTAAACACACACGATTTTCAGCAAAAGGTCTCACACTATTAAAAGATCCTTACACCTTATACTTCTTATCTTTACAGTTATTAATATGCGACTTTATTCGCAGCCTCGACAAGTAATATATACAAGGTTTTTACGTGGTGTTAGGACTTGATCAATTATTTTACTCCGTTGGCCGGCAACCATGTGAGTAGACAAACACTCTTTAATTTCATTTTCTAATTAAATTAAGTAAATGACTTTGAATTAGCAAAAAAAGAAAAAAGAATAAACCACAAACACATTAGAAAGGTGAATATAACATATCCAACACGTAGCCAAAATTCTATAGCTTTTGAAGACTAGAAAAGCAATATGTCAAGCCATCAAATGCGCCTCAATTCTAGTTAAACTGCAATTGCACTTGGACTGTATGAATATTTTAGAATATTCTTTTACCATAACAATCAACTTATTAAAATCCTTTTCATTCGACTTAAAACCACTTTATCAAACTCATATGGCTGAAAAAGAAATAAATTTAAGTTACATATAATGATAGTGTAAGATTTTTTATATTATTGTTAATAACTTAATATTAATATCAACAACAAAATAACAAACTCAGTATAATCCCACAAGTGAGGCCGGAGATAGTGTGTACGCAGACCTTACACATGTCCTGTGCCAATAGATAGGTTGTTTCCGGCAGAGGCGTATCTAGTGTAGAAGCTATGAGTTCAACTCAACCCTTTATTTTTGTCCAAAAAATTATTAATTATATACAAATAATAAATCTTGAGCCCATTAAATAAGATGATATGTACTAGTAGAATTGTGAATCTGAACCCGTAAAGTTTAAATCCTGAATTCGCCTCTGATTTCAGGTAGACCATTAGTTCAAGGAAAGCAATCGGTTAATATTAATATGTAAAAGAATATTAATTATTTATTTTTATGAGATTACTAATTAATGCTATCAATAAATTTATTTATAGTTATTTAACAAATACTTAACTTAATTTGTATTTTAAAAAATCACGCTGCGTATAAAGGGGAAAAAAATCCACAAAGTAGAGCTATTAAGGAATAAAATTATATTATTTTTATAAAATAAATAAATATCTGCTTTCGACATGCTTATTCTTCCCTGTTTTATTCCTAACGACTACTATACTACAGTTTCTGTTTTCGTTTTCTTCTTTCTCTCTCACTTTCTTTCCTAAAAGGAGTAAAATTCTAGTGAGAGAATCAAAAGCTATACAAATTTTTTCTATTAAAGTTTCCACCAATTCTTTTGTATTGTTTGCATTAATTTTTGGCTTTTAGTCTTCCTTTTCACGCACACACACAGTGATATACTTAAAAGGGTTGCCGGAAAATGTCCTCTCCGACGCCGGTAACGGCCCCTGCTCCCACTTCACCGCCTAGTAATTCTACTTCTCCGCCGCCGTCAACGCCTGCACAGGCTCCTCCTCCGGCCTCCCCTACGCCACCAGCAACAGCTCCGCCGCCGGCAACTCCTGCACAAGCTCCTCCTCCGGCCTCCCCTACGCCACCAGCAACAACTCCGCCGCCGGATACTCCTTCACAAGCTCCTCCACCATCCACCCCGACCCCACCAGCAGCAACTCCGCCGGCTGCTTCAGCCTCTCCGCCACCACCAACCACCCCTGTTCCTCCATCAACCCCGTCAACTCCTCCATCTGGGTCTCCTCCTTCGCCGCCGTCCACCACTCCTTCTCCGCCTTCTGGTTCATCACCCTCACCTCCGGCGAGAGGGAATTCACCGCCAGTACCTTCAGGGAGGACTCCGGTGCCATCTAGGGGACCGCCGGCGTTGTCACCGCCGCCGTCAGATGGAGGGTCAAATGGAATATCGACGGGGACAGTTGTGGGAATTGCTATTGGAGGTGTTATATTTTTAGCAGTGTTGAGTTTGTTGTTCATATTCTGCAAGAAGAAGAGAAGAAGAAATGATGATAATTACTATTTTCCACCTCCACCACCACAAGGGGTCAAAGGTGAGATCTTTTTTGAATTTGATATTAATTATCTGCTACACATTTTTGATTCATCAAATATATTTGTTCAAGAGCGCAACTTGTGATGTGTGGGTTGTTTTCAACTGGAGAACGGTAGAGGGATAAGCCATCATCCACCGAGTTTCGAATCTTGCCTCTGCTATACGTATACGTATTTATAATGTTAACTCGGCTCGTGTGGGGTTGCTCACATTGCCGGTTCTAAGTCCGGGTAAAGGAGGGTTTCATTAGGCTGGCAGCAAGTGTAAAACTTGTCAATTTAGAATGAATCCTCATAATAAAGATTTTATTTGGTACGATGATGATATGAATTGAGCTTAAAGAAAGAATTGATAATTCATAAAGCGGACCCCAACTTTGTTTGGGACTGAGGCTTAGTTGTTGTATGTATAATGTTCTAGAGCCTGGACTATTGAGTACCTTATTTTTTTGGTTGCTGTTGAAAATGCATGAGATTCAAGCTTTAAGTGTCTGGATAACAGAATATATTTAGCTATATATAGGGTATGTTTGGTAATGACGGAAGTTATTTTCTATAGAAATTGTTTTGGGAAAATGTTTTCCATGCTAGTGTTTTTGGTTGGCAAGTGAAAAATATTTTCCAGAAAATATACTACTATTATATATTAACTTTTGAGTACTAATGTTGATGTTGTTTGTCAGCTGAACCGCATGGTGGGCATATGCAACATTGGCAGCAAAATGCTCCACCACCAGCGGATCATTTTGTTACAATGCCCCCAAAACCGTCTCCTCCACTACCAGGGGCATTACGACCTTCACATGCTCCAGTACGTGCACCTTCACCTCAACCTTACATGAACAGCACTGGGACTTCCTCCAATTATTCTGGGTCTGAAGTTGCGCTTCCACCACCTTCTCCTGGCATGGCCTTGGGTTTCTCTCAGAGCACATTCACATATGAGGAATTGGTTCGGGCAACTGATGGCTTCTCAGATGCTAACCTTCTTGGACAAGGTGGTTTCGGTTATGTGCACAAAGGGGTCCTTCCTAATGGGAAAGAGGTTGCAGTTAAACAGCTTAAGGCTGGAAGTGGACAAGGTGAACGTGAATTTCAGGCGGAAGTCGAGATTATTAGCCGAGTACATCACAAACATCTCGTTTCTCTTGTTGGATACTGCATTACTGGGGCTCAGAGAATGCTCGTTTATGAGTTTGTTCCGAACAACACTATGGAATTTCATTTACATGGTAAGTCTATTTTACTGTTTTCATTGTAGTAAAAAGTTCATTTTTACTGCCTTCAAATTTCTACCGGTAAATCAACCCTGAACATGCTTGATCTGTCTACTAATCCAAATTCTTATACTTGGAATATTTTTAGGAAAGGGAAGGCCTCCATTGGATTGGCCTACCCGACTGAAGATTGCTCTAGGGGCTGCTAAAGGACTGGCATATCTGCATGAAGACTGTATGTCATGGTTCAATTGTGTTGATATCTTTTTTGGACTTTTTGTCACAAGTTCTTAATGTGAAATGAATCATTTTCTACCTTCACAGGCCAACCTAAAATCATTCACCGTGATATCAAGGCAGCTAATATACTTATCGACTTCAATTTTGAGGCTAAGGTAACAGTCCTTTGCATGTACAATTGAAGAGCATGTTAATTTTTGTTTATTTGATTATTGAATCATTGGCAATGATGTTCTCCAATCGCTTTCACTCAGAGGTTATTTTTTTCTGCAAATTATACATTATGGATGCCATCAGAAGCTAAATACAGTTGTACTATCTAGTAAATCCTGTATCCTCTTTGTGTTTCCATGTGGTCAAAGAAACTTTTCCGCTTTCTCAGGTTGCTGATTTTGGACTTGCTAAGCTTACTTCTGATGTTAACACTCATGTCTCCACCAGAGTGATGGGAACTTTTGGGTAAGATTTGCATTCTTTTGTGCATATTAGTTCAGTTTCTGATTTTCTATCTTGTATATGTATTGCTAAGCGTGCTGCTTCTTTACCATTTGATCATCAGTAGACCTGATTGTTTTTCTTCATTATTGCCGACCCTAGATATTTGGCTCCAGAATATGCATCGTCTGGAAAGCTTACAGATAGGTCAGATGTATTCTCCTTTGGTGTGATGCTTCTAGAGTTGATAACTGGACGTCGGCCTGTTGACTCCAATCCGTCATTCACAGAAGATAGTTTGGTGGACTGGGTGAGCATATTTATGCAGACATATTGGGCTGTCTTTGATTTCCTTCCGCTAGCTCTTCAGTTTGAGTATTTCTGTTGTTCTGCTCACAAAGATATTACCTTCTGTATATTTCAGGCACGGCCATTGCTCACACGAGCTTTAGAGGATGAAAAGTTTGATGCCCTTGTTGATCGCCGGATAGAAAATGATTATAACCATAATGAGATGGCGCGCATGGTTGCTTGCGCTGCTGCTTGTGTGCGTCATTCAGCAAAACGTCGACCACGAATGACTCAGGTGAAATTCGATTTTGCGTTAAAGATTATTTTATTTGTAGTATCTTTATCAACAAAAAAAATTATTTTGTTTGTAGTGAATAGGCATCACTCCTCTTTGGGATGTGGCCGTTCCCCGAACCTTGTGTGAATGCGGGCATTAAGAGTAAAACATAGAGTAGCCATTTAGGAAGTTAAGTTAATGAGCTGCAACCTTGTACAAGTATGAAATATTGGAAATGATGGTTTAGAAGTTCCAAATGCACTCGACTTCCGATCGTTGCTATATTCTACTGGTTAAAACTAACAATCACTAGGTGTGATGCTCTAGTCAAGATGTATATTGCAAACTTTAGACATACTATCTGCAATATTAAGTTTTAACTGAAAATATGAGCAGGTTCTCAGAGCTTTGGAAGGAGCTGTCTCGTTATCGGACCTTAATGAAGGGATTAAACCTGGACATAGCACAGTATACAGTTCATATACAAGCTCAGATTATGATGCACTCCAATACAATGAAGACATGAAGAAATTCAGGAAGATGGCACTAGCCACGAGCCAAGAATATGAAAGCAGTGGCCAGTACAGTAATCCAACAAGTGAATATGGGCTGTACCCGTCTGGATCAAGTAGCGAAGGCCAACGGACAAGGGAAATGGAAATGGATAAGATGAAGAAAGACAGTAAAGGATTCAGTGGAAGCAAAGGATTCAGTGAAAGGTCTTAGTGCAAGAACTCCATTTCTGTATAATCTTTCAACCTAACTCTATTTTTAACATGTGAATGGTTCAGCAATTGCATACAAGGGGTGATTTACTTGGTCAATATACAGTTTTTTTTTTCTTTTTTTATATGAGAAAAGTTCTCCATTTTGTATTTATAATGTCTTTTACAACAGAGGGATGAGTTATACTGTCAATTCTTTTATTCAATGTTTCATTGATAGCATTGATTATTTTGTTCATATCCATTCAGACTTATTCCTTGATGCTGGTTGTGTTTTGCTTATTAAAATGTGCATTTGACAATGGATTTGAATCAGCTGATGTGTAGATGACAAAACTAAGCAAGTTGCATGTAGTATTTTAAGTAGTTTATTCAACTTTGAATTTTCTCTTCCCTTGAATCTAAGCTGTCAAACCAAATTTCTGACTTTCTTTGTGCAAATTTGACCATGTCTTTTTGGAGACATCTTTATTGCTGAATTTTACAAGATGTACATTCACTACGTGCTGTGCAGCATTTTTAGATTCTTTAAAGCATTCAATGTCTTTATTTAAGGGTAGTTTGCATGTACCTTTACTATTTCACCAAATACTTGTTATTACCTTTGATTATCACACATATTGGGTAATTCTATTCACCAAAGATTAAATAGATAAAAAGAAACTACTTAGCTTCTTTTTGGCCATAAAATTTGGGAGTTTTTTTTTCAAATTTTATTTTCAAATATTGTTGTTTATAGATTTTTACCATTTCTTTGGCAGATTTTGAAAACAAAGTCTTCAAATGCCAAAAACAGCTCTAGAGGAGTTTTTGAAGTTTTCTACTCATAAAACTTCAAATTTTTTCAAGTAAAATGCACGTTCAAACACAATTTCAACTTTCAAAATTCATTTTTCATCTCTGTTGGATTTGAACCTTGGTATTCTTTGATTTTCACTCACTTCATTCACCGTTACTAGGGGTAGCAAACGGATGGGTCTCAGGTATGGGACGAGTCGAAAACAGGTAGTAAAAAAACGGATAAATTATCCGACCCCACCAATATTTAATACGGATAAAAAATAGGTTAACCGGCGGATAATATGGGTAACCATATTATAATATGGGTAACCATATTATCCATAGCTTCATGAATATGATCACTTTTGGGAGAAGTCCTAACCTCCCAAACTTGAGGAACCCCCAACTTGAGGTTTTACAAATGTAAAAATTAAACCCATTTGAAGTTTTAGAAAATGGATAATATGGTTCTTATCCATGTTTGACCCGTTTTTAAAAAGTTCATTATCCAACCCATTTTTGAGTGGATAATATGAATGGTTAACTGTTTTCTTTTAACCATTTTGCCACCCCTCACCGTTAGATATACATTAGGCGTTCAAAGGGTGGATTTTCCATTAAATGCGATTTGGGCAAGTTAATGGAAAATCTAATCTTTTGGATACATAAGAAGAAAGCTTGACCAATAGTTTAAACATTGTTGGTTTCTGTCTTTTGGTTCCTATAGTCCTATTGTTTAATGGAATTAGGAAGGTGGTCCTTGTCGGAATTAAATGGTCACATGTAACACAAAAGAAAGCAAAAGTTAAAAAGGGTTATCTATTAAATTCATGGTCAAGACAACCTTTTTGCACATGCAAGAAATCATGGGGACAAGTCACAAGAATTTAGCAGTACCAATTTGCTACAATTTTGCCATATTTATTGACTTTACTACTTCTCATCACATGGTTTTTTCTGCCAACCATTTGTATCTACTATTTTTTATTATTTATATTTTTAAAAATCTTAATAGTTGGTTGTAGAGTTCTTGAATGTTTGTTGGTTAATCATTTGTGTGGGGTTATTGGTAGTCAGAGGCGGACCCAGAATTTGAAGGTCGGGGGTTTACTTTTGGATAGATTCAACCAGAATTTGCTTTGTATATAGGGTGTCTAGTACTAATTTATTTCTATTTTTTTGAAGACATACACATGTATACATGGAATTTTTACCGAATTTTACGGGTGTCGATGACCTCCTCTAGGTATAGCATAGGTGTGCCTCCGTAGGTAGCAAGTATCTTTAAGGTAAAGGGTTTCAAGATTGTCCCAGAAATCAGGTTTATTCCTTTCACTCAAAATTATTAGATGTGTTAAACTGTATAAAATAAATTTATTGTGGATTTTCTCTGCCATTACAAAGTTCTTATGCTCTAATCTCCGACTAAGGATTAGTATCTATTCATGCAAAAATACTCATTTGAAACTGGAGTAAGGAATTTGTCCACCTCATCACCCCGAAGATGTTGTTTTGCACGCCTACTGAGAGACTCCAAAGTATTGATTGACACAGAAAACAACCATTTTGTTCGAGAAGAATTAACTTAAATAACAGTAAACTCAACCGTTTAAACTAAAGATAGCCGGAGGATATATAATAAATGTATAATTTATGTATAACATGTATATAATTAGTGTATAATCTATGCATACTGATTAGAAAAAGTAAATAATGTTTCCGGCCGGCTATTATGTAAAGATCCCTTTTTTAGACTCTACTTTAGTAACAAAACAACATTGTCTAGGGGTGGGCGTCGGTCTATTCAGTTCGATTTTCATGAAGTTCGGTTTGGTTTGTTCGGTTTTCGGGTTTCTATTTGGTACACCAATAACCGAACCAAAATTAGCTCGGTTTCTTCGGTTTTTGCTAATTCGGTAGGGTCGATTTTCGGTTGGATTCTGTCGGTTTAGTCTTGTCGTATTGAGCTTTCAAATTGGACTTTTTCTACTGAAAAATATGACTAATTTCATATTTTAGTGCAACCAAAACTCGAAAACACAATACTTATAATATGATTAGCCAAATCATTTAGTTGATGTAGGAAGAATAAATTTACTTGACAAAGATTACAATATAACTATCTCGTAAAGACGTAGACAATCATCTAAAAGAATAATCCAAGCAAGTTCATATTAGAGGAGCATTAGTATCTATTATATAAAGAGTTCTCTACTTTAGATCTCACACTTCCCATGAAACATAAACAAATATTATGAAAAATAAATTATATAATAGGAGTACTGTTTTTTTCTATTTCAACAATGCAATAACTTTCTTGTAAAAACTGAAAGAGACGCTAGCAAATAAGATGAATGTCAGTACTCATTATCCCACAACAATATCAGCGACGCGCAAGTAACAAAGATGAAAGATGCATCGACAAATAAAAAGGGCTAATTATTAGAATGTGGGGAAAAATTCAAAAATAGCCAGATTTATAAGTGGTCCTTCAAAAATGGCCCAGTTTCAAAAGTAATCGAAATTTAGCCACTTTTCTTGTAAAGATAAATCTGAGCGAAAACACTGTTCAAAACCCGGAAAATACGCGAGTATATTATGCTGGAGTTCCAGCATAAGTAACTTGAACTCCAGCCAGGATAAGTATGCTGGAACTCCAGCATAATATGATGGAGTTCCAGCATAAGTACACTAGAACTCCAGCATAATATACTGGAGTTCCAGCAAAGTATACTGGTCCAGTATAATATGCTGGAAGTTCATATACAAGTGCTCGAATCTCCAGTATATTATGTTGGAACTTTCCGTGTGTTGGAGTTCCAGCATAATATGCTGTAAGTTCATACACAGGTGCACCGAACTCCAGTATATTATGCTGGACCGGTCTTTGTTGCAGCAAAATAGTAGCTATTTTTTATTGACTTGGTAGACGCTGGCTATTTTTGAATGATCAGTCCGAAAACTGGCTAGACCGTGCTATTTTTATAGAATGTGGGATTTTATTTGGGTTTGGGCTTTAAATTTTATAATTTAAATATGCGGATAAATTGGGCTAGATAACTTAAGAGGAGTCTAGAGGCTACGATCCATATTAGAAAACTTCGTTTTTTTGATTTAACCGAAAATCGAAGTTGCAAAATCGACCACCGAAATTATAAAAAACATAAACCAGCAAACCGCCTGAATAAGACGAAAAACCCAAAACCGTATAAACCAAAGTTTTCGGTTCGGCCGGTTTTTTGCCCTCTAGCCTGTTTCTGGCAACCTTTTGGGCCGAATATGAACAACATGGTCTGTCCTTATGAGCAAGACTCATGTTGTCGTTATATCTCTAATTGGAAAATTTAAAACTTCAGAACAGAAGCTATTTTTTAAAGACATGGCCACAAAAGTGGCTAGTAAAAGCTATTTCTACCTCTTAATTAAGGCTTCTGGTATAATGGACCATGCTATGGCCCACGAAAATCAGTAGAAAGGAGCAAGCTGAAGATGTTGGTTCATCTTCATAAGTCCGTTAAAGTTTACCATTTTCTACCTGGCAATAATTATTTTTGAAGAATTAACCCGAACAGTCGCTCACCCAACCATTTAAATTAAAAATAGACGGTGAAGGTATAATATATACATAATTTGTGTATCATCTGTGTATAATCATTGTATAATATATGTATATTGCTATAAAAACTAAATAATGAATATGACCGGCTATTTATGTAAAGATCCCGCATCGTTTTTCGTACCTGCATTAGGCCCCAATAATTCTGAATTCATGACGCGTAAAAACCATTAAAAGGAAAGTATTCGCCCACTATTTTTGCTATTCTGAGGGTTCAAAACTGAAATTTTGATTAAGATAAAAAAATCATATCCATTCCACCTAGTGGCAGATCTATGTACTAATTTTAGGTGCTTTAGCACCCATTGACTTCCGCATAAACTGTGTATAGTTATATAAAAACTATAAGAAAATTGATATACAGCGCTAGAAAGCACCCAGGAACCAAAAAGACTAATGAGTGTTGTGGTGTTGAGGTTGAAGTAAGGCGTGTTTAAAGCTAGAGCGCGAATTCAATCCCCACTTGACTTGTGACTAGAAGTCTTTTTTGATAATAATAATAATATTAACTATAATTTTTTTATTGCGTTTAAATAGTTTTACACTTGTATGTGGTTGGTAGCAACTTTATATTAAAGGAATTGAGCATCCACGGCCTTAAAATCATGGATCCGCCACTGATTCCACTTCCACCATAACTTTTTATGGTAATTTACTTAAAAATTGATTTACAATTAATTAGTCATAACATGATAAATTGTTAACCTAAAAAAAGTTTTTAAGTGCTAAAAATATATACATGACACTTTTCAATCGAACCTCTCTCTCCAAAATGGTTTACGATTAGGAATTTATTAATAAAAAAGAAAAAAAATTAGTGTGAAAAACTTTCACATCTCACTACACAT